GACTCCAGAATTAAAGCAGCTGAATCTGTGGAGATAACCAGAGCACAGTCCGGTCCAGTTTTGTTGGATGAGTTTCAATTGGCACAGCTTGAGCAAGTTGACAAGGGCAAAGTTGAGAAGGGCTTGAGCAAGGGTTTGTGCAACCATCTCTGTATTGGATTTTTGTTCTTCCTGGCTTGTAAAAGCCAGCAAGAAAAGAATAATCAGCTGGGTCAATGAGTGATTAATGCCTTTGTAAAAGGGAGTGGCCCCATGCTGCCTTAGAGAAGCAGTGATGGGATGCTTTAAAAAAAAACAACAACTTTCCTTTGACCTAGAAGTTCGGAATAACTTTAGGCAAGTAGCAAATATTCCTTTCCAGGAGAAGGTTCTTGAAAGGGTGCTTGCCAATCAATTCCAGGCACACTTGGATGAGACTGATTATCTGGTTCCGTTTCACTCAAAACCAGGTCTGGCTTTGGAATGAAAACAGCCATGGTGGCCCTCTGTGATGACCTATGTTGAGAGGGAGAGTGCAACCATGATGATACTGCTAGACCTCCCAGGAGCTTTCAGTGCCATCAAGATATCTTCCTGGGGTGACTGTCCGAATTAGGGATACTGCAGTACAGTGCAATGGTTCTGCTTATGTTCAGAGAGTTGTTTTCTAAAGTGGTGCTTGGGAAAGTGTTCACCCTTGTGGTTTCTCCAGTATGTGGTTCCTCAGACATCTCTTCTATCCCTTATAACTTCTACATCAATGGGGTAATCTGGAGTTTTGGAAATGCTGATGACACACAGCTCTATTTCTGCTTTTCATCTACAGCATCTGAGGCTGTGGATGTTCTAAACCAGTGTGGTTCCTTTGACCAGATTTTGATGACAGGTGTTCAACCTGTTCCAGATAGAGTTGCACTCTCCCTGAAGGAGAAGGTGCATAGCTTGGTGATCCTTCTTTGCAGCTTGAGGCTCAGGTGGCTTTGGTGTCTCAGAGTGCCTTTTTACTTTTTAGAAGTACCTTGTGCCATTTCTTTTTGTCCCGATACACTGCAAGCATTGGTGGATTAACCCAGATCTTTAATCATCTTCAGTTTTCATCACATATATGCTATATATTGTTAAACACACTGGGTGGTGACCCTTCAACCCTCAGTTCCAAAGAGGGGGCCATACTTACTGCTACATATCACGTGGGCCTGGGAAACACACAGGGTCCCCCACCCCCAAATTCCTTTTATATTTGAATGAGTTTGTATGCATCTTCTGTTTTCTTTAATGAACTTAGTGAGAGAGACTGCACCTAAAGAAATTCAAAGACAACTGAGAGTTGGAAGTGCAGCAATGAAGGAACTAGAAAAGATAATCAGGTATAAGGATGTTTCACTGGAGACCAAGACAAAGATCATCCATATTGTTGTATTCTCAGTTACTATGCATGGGTGTGAAAGCTGGATAGTAAAGAATTAAAGAAAAATGACAGGAAGAAAAATGATGCATTCAAAACATGGTGCTGGAGGAAGGCTTTGCAAATACCCTGGACTGACAGAAAAATGAACAAGTTGGCCCTTGGTCAAATCAAGCCAGAGCTTTCCTTAGAAGCAAAGATGACAAAACTAAGGCTGCCATTCTTTGGGCCTATTATAAGAAGGCAAGACTCCCTGAAGAAGACAATAATGCTATGGAAAGCTGAGGGCAGAAGATGAGGAAGAGCAACTATGAGATGGATTGACTCCATAAAGACACAGCCTTGACTTTACAAAAGCTGAGCAGAAACTTGAAAGACAGGACATTTTGGAGGGCATTGATTCATAGGGTTGTCATTCATCAGAGCCAACTTGATGGCACGTACCACCTACTCCTTTTGCATTTGACCCTACCCACCACTGGCATGTCTCTCCCAAGAATGTCTCCAAAATGAAACTTGGTTCTCAGACTGAAAGACGTTCAACACCCTGCCTTTATGTAAACAGAAAAACAAATTATTCAGTTTCTTCAGAAAGGGTTAGGGCTCTAAGTGCCCTAAGGGTGATCCAGCACTGTAGCTCTAGCAAATTCCCTTCATAATGTAATTCTGCAGCCATGTAGTTAAATCAGATTATTTTCCAGAAAAATGAAATAACAAATGTGACCAGTATTCCAATAAGCTCCATTAAAGACAAATCCACAAAGTGAAAGGATAGGCTGGTAATAAAATCAAACTTTTAAACAAAGAAAGAAGCACAACCATATGCACAGAGTAGGGAACAAAGCTGAGAAAAGGCAACTATACTTGGCAAGCTAATGCATCCCTGATCCACTTTTGTTCAACTGACTAATCAGAAAATGCATTTTTCTGCATCAACCAAATGATAGCAAAAGCTTGAAAGAACTATTTTGTCAGATGAGAAACTTCGGTAAACAGCAATACACTGTCTTCTTCATTGCTTACCCTGAAAGAATGTAGCTTGGCTCTTTACTAAAGTATTTCTTGACTCTTCAAGGCTGTATAAATAATCTTGCAATACATTCTATTTATTCCAAAAAACCCACTAAATACTCAGGAACACAGATAATAAACACTGTTTTTATGATGGTAAGTCCCTCCCCTGAAATTGCTTCATCTGTTCTGTGCAACTTCAACCCAAGAAGGCTTGTGTCCTGAAGTTCTATCACCGAATGAATGGTGATAAGGCACCATCACTTCAAACATTCTGCAACACTTAAAATACTCAATTCACACCTCTAGCTATCAAGTAAAGCATAAGACTGTAAGAACTGCTTTGCTGGATCAGACCAAAGGCCTATACCGTCCAGCTTCTTGTCCCCTATAGTGACTAATCACATGTCTCTGGGAAGCCTGCAAGCTGCTATTGCTCCCTAGTAACTGGTTTTCAGGGGCATACTGCCTCAATCTATTTTTGCACATTGCAGCAGTCTCGTAAGACAATTTTAATTATCTCCCCACCACCACTCTGTGTGGTTTGTGTCTGCACAAACTACTAGAAGCCTGGCATTTAGTTTATTGGTTGTGTAGTGGACATCATTAAGAATTTTATATTGTTATAGGTCATGACACCATTGCTGAAGGAGTCTGTCAAATATGAGATCTCTCTATCCATTTCCATACTCAGTGCCTTATATTTCTATCAATGTGGTCAGCTGGGAACATGTAAGATCTGTGCAGGTCTTCCCAACTAAGCATTACTATTGCTTGGACTGACCTAGATATATTCTTAAGCCTCAGTTAGGGGAAAACCCCTCCTTTTAAAAAGGGAAATGGTTATATTGCAGGATCCCTGTATCCATTGTCTCCTTTACTATGGATTCACTTAATTGAGGTTAACTGTCAGCCCTCACAACTGTGGGGGTTAGGAGTGCAGGACCCCCACAAAAGTGGAACAACTGCAAATAATTCTACAGAAAAAACACAAATATCTCTGGGGAACTATGCATTCTGTTTGGGGAGGCTACACTCTTTCTCTCATTACTAACCAGCCTCATTCACATGTTTTCTCGCTCAGTGGGCACAAAGGCTGATAGGTATTTGTGTTTTCTCCTTAGAGAGATGCACAGTTTTTCCACAGGGTCCTGTGCCCCTAACCCCCACAAATGTAGTGTTTGCTACTATTCACAGTTTCAGGCATTCACTAACAAGCTTGGAACCTATCTCCTGTGGATATGAGGGTCCTGCTGTATATCCCTTTATCTTAAAAGAAATGATTTATTTCTAATATCTATTTCTTTAAGACCTGTTCTCTCTATAAAAGGTGGATCTGATGGAACAAATGGAACTCTGCTGAAATAGAGCTTTAAAAACCTGAAATGTTTCTGGCTGATTTCCAGGTACCAGGGTTGGGAGCCAGTACTTTTGAATATTTTCTTCTTGTTCTGCCATAGACTGCCACAGCTCTTTTATTTTGGGCTGCACTTTTCAAAAGGTTTTGCTCAAAGACTGCACAAGCCATAAGGTTGAGCCAAAGCTGAAAGTCTCAGAATCATTATTCCTGTACTATTTAAATGAGGAAAATATCAGAGAGCCTGAGTGGGCTAATGTAGTGGCATATAAAGTGAAACAATAGATAAATAAATTAATCTTAATCTACTGTATTTTTGCCTAGACTCAAAGCAGACTGACAGAAATAATGCCCTAACTATTATTACAAGAATCCTCTTTACAATTTCCTATATATTGCTTTCTTTTTCCTCTCACATCTAGAGAAGTTAATTTTAGGGTGAAATTTTAGGATGACTTTCTGTGGTCTAATACAACATGCATTTCCTTACTAACATAAAGCTCTACCACCTCCAAGACTTCTACTTGCTATAAATTACTGCTGAAGATAAAAAGCTTAGCTTCCAAGTTTTGTCAGACTCTATTGATGCAGAACAAGAGTCTCAGTAAAGGGTGGGCAAGTGCTGAGAGAAGCACCTAAAGAAACAATATTAAAAGGCATCTCTTTCAAGAGCAAGTGGGATACAGAGAGCAGAAGATCTTGTTTAGTAGATGTAAATGGGCAAAGGTCAGCAGACAAAGGTACAAGAAAGACAAGATCATTTCCTAACCCAGCATTTTCAGTAACTTTATTCAGCCCTGCTGTTACCTTTCTCCCTGTAATTTCCTTTTGCTTAGGCCTGGCTGAGATTCTAAGCCTTCTGCACACACCTAAGACAATACAGACACTAAATAAGTAATAATTATATAAAATGTAGCAACATTATATATGGAGTAAGCAACAGTGAAAAGAGGTCATAAAATCATAGGTCTAGCAGCATTTTATGTCAAAGAAAAATACACTAAATTAACATTGTGTATGCATCCCCACCCAGTCAGGAATTGCTGATTTCTGTCCCTTATCTGGATTCCCAGACTTAAGTCAGCTCCAGAGGTTTACATCATAGTCTGAGAAATCCAAGACTCCCCATGTCAAGTCTCAACCTGGGCCAACGTGTTTACACTCTTCTCTCCTTTGCACACAAACACAGGAGGAAACAGCTGCCCAAAGAACTACTGACCCATCCCCCTCAGCAGTTCAACATGGTACCTGACATCTTCTGCTGCTCCTGAGAAAAGTCAATGCCTTCACCAATGGAGCTCATGATTTTCTCAATCTGAAAAATATAAGAAATATTAGTGAGACTGTATTCATAAACAATAGTTCCTGACTAGAAAGGTCTTCACCATGAAACTATACCAACACATATATTCAAGAGTTGTTGCAATTACATTGTCGGAAAAGAGTAGATTCATAGTGAATGTAAGAGAAAGGACTTTACCAAAGCATCTTACTAAGCTAACTAGGACAGAAATGTTAATATATGTTCATATGGTAAGAAATACAAGCACACCTTAAAGTGGCATATATGAATAGAAGACCCCTTCCGTATCCTTGATTTCATCTTAAAATAGATGGATCCCTTGTTAACAGCAAATTAGGCAATGCCAATTTACTTTTACTGAAAGCCTGCAAAAGCATTAATATGAGCTGTAAAACTTATGCAAAAAGCAGAAGATTGTGGGTAATGTTTCAAAAGCTAGGAAATGGAGAGACCAACCCATCCAGGCTGAACCAAGCTGGTGATCATCCAGAAATGCCTAAACATTTCTAAGCATTTAAAAATGCTTAAACAATGAATGCTTTTAGACATAACACTATTTAAGAGGCCCTAAGCCTGTGAAAAGAACTTCCACAGCTAAACATCAACACATCTTCAACCCACAAGACTTGAAAGTCCAGTTACTTTTCATGAAGGCCTGTGAAGAAACCAAGGAGGAGCCTCACTAGCTCGTATGCTCAGAAATGTAGCAATACTGCCTGTTTAGTTTGCCTGCCACTGCATGGATAGCATAAGGTATAAATGAGGTGCATGTAGTATTTCTGATACCTGTAAGACAAACTTGGCAACCTTGATAGATTTAACTTTGTGCAGCTCAGCTCAAGAGCTTTGACATGTCCAGTCACTGCTCATTTAAGTTATCCAGATTCACATGCAGTTTATGAACAATGGAAATAGATTTGTATTTGCAATCCTATGCTACCAAGATAAAAGATGCAGAAACTGATTATGAAAAGGGTGCTTGAAGCTGAAGATGCACATTCCTGAAAAATAGCTGCATTAACGTAGAACTGCTTTTTAGGGTCCAGTGCCTAAAGCACAGGTAGTAGACACATTATTTTTGGTTTATGCTTCCTCTCCCTCTGTTGAATTTTCAATTTGGAGGAGGAAACTAAGCTCATGTACTTTGTAAAGCACTATGCATATTGATGGTGCTAAAGAAATAAATCACACATCATCTTAAACTTGATTTTACAAGACCAGGAGCACAATGTGGTAGAAAAAAATCTAAATGGACTGGACCCCCTCTGTAAGTAAAACAACAACCACCATTATTGTCTAATAATCATAGTTACCATGTTTCACCCAACACATGAACTTTTTCACATATCCACAAATCTCTCACAAGGAACAGCTCAATTTTTTCCCATAACCAGCAAAGAAAAAGCACAAACACGAAGAAAGCAGAAAATAACTTCATGACTAAGCAATGCCAGCAGTCAGATTGCTTCCCAGCAGAGGCCAAGCTTTTCTGATTTCTTACATTGCATAAAGACTGAACTTCGGAGACATCAGGCACCTGCTGCTGAAACTGCTGGGAAAAAGCAAAACATGTTTTCCAAGGGCAATGATTATGTTAAGCACAATTTGCAGGAGAACAGACACATAAAGGGAACTTCTTTTCAAAAGAGTGATCTAGAAAGGGACTTTCCTGTTTTTCTTCAACAAATATTTTCAGTGTTCCAGTTTCTTATACTGCCTATAATAGCTCACAGGTATTCACTTTGATTTCAAGTGAGAGATGGAGAAAGAGGACACACCTTGATGACAACATCCTGAAAGTTGCCATCTTGGCATGCAACACCGTATAGGAGTTTTTTGGATACAAACACAAAAGTTCAGTATACATCTAAGTATACATAGTCAGACAGTCAAATCTTCTGAAATGTTTTCTCAGGTACATAAGATGACTGAATGGAAACAAACATGGGTTTTGATTTGGACTGACTGAAAGCTGAAAACCTTTTATTGATAAAAACCTTTGCAAAAGAGAAGAAAACTTGTCAGAAGTGAGAAAATACCTGTCTCCTAAAAATATACGCTGCAACCTGGATTCTAAAACCTGTAAACAGTGTTCTGTTAATGGAATTGGATTTATGCCTCATGAAAAGCTAATTTTGTGGGATATGGCATAAGGGCAGCATATGGTGGGTTTCCCATGCAAGTTGCTGCTTTTCACTCATGCTGGACACCTTTGGATTGCATGAAATCTGCATGTTCAGCTGGATCCAGAGAACAAAGATTAATCAGATACACTCACACATACCAAGGCTTAAAATTTATATCTTATTTCCTAAAGTTATTCATCACAGGCACATTGCTAATCCTACAGAAGTATAATTGGTGATATCTTAGTTATTAAAATCTTGAGATAGAGCTCAAATGAATATTTTCGTGTTATAGGTTATAGGTTTGTTTGGTTCTTTAAAAAAGTAAATACATTCAGTTTTCTTATGTACAAGCGTAATGAAACATGGTATTTGGAAGGATGGAAGTTCAGCTTAAAGGACTTATCAACCCCAGAAGCTTATACTCAAGTTACCACATTTTCTCTGAGGCCAACTAGTCAACAATCCTGTACATATTATTATTCTGCTTAGAGCACACAATTTCCAAAAGGCATAATTTCCTTGAAAAGCAGCTGCAGTCTGGAAGGCTGTAGATTTGCAGATGCTTTGACAACTACATAAGCTTAAGTCTTTCTTATTCAAAAGTATTTGTGGTAGATTTTTCAAAAACCCAGAAGTTTCTAAGCAAACAGACCATTTTGGTATCAGGAAGCAGCTTTGCTCTTTTACCATTCCACCAACACAAATCCTATTATGCACACCCAGTATGCACACTCTGCAGCATTTAAGCCTAACAAAGTCCCTCCATTTAGAACAGCTGTGCTCTTCCCTTGGTGGAAACATGGACACTTGCCAAAAGGCTTCATTCAGCATGCACCAACAAAAGCAGTTTGACATACTCTTAACGGAAAAATAAACAGAACTGCCAGGTCTGTTATTATCTCTTGCTTCTTCAATCCCACTTCATGCATAAAATAGTTGCACATAAAATTCATCTATAAAAAGGTAAATGCCCTCGAGGATGCTTCAAGGTGGACCACCTTGCTTTTCCCAGTCTCTATTAATTTATTTCAAAAGGGTTGGTAAACATGAACATGGAGGCAGTGAACTTGAGCATGAATCCTCTTTAAGGAAAGTTACTTTAGTTAGTTGTACAGTGATAAATAGAACAGCCAAGGCACCAGTAGTTCCACCTTAGAGCTGCAATGCCTCCAAGCTTCTAGTCAAACTGAAAATTGCAACCCAGAGGCACACATGCATTTGGCACTGGTGCATGGGATGGGGGCATTCCAGAGGACAGGAAGGGAAGGAGTGGGGTTCCACTGGGATATCAGGACTCCTTGCAGTGCCTCAGCCCCTCCTCCTTGAGGACATGAGCAAAGTCTGACCATCTATGTCTTTTGCAAAGTTTTATTAGAAACTAGTATGAATTCACAGCAGTATTATTGCTGGGCTCACCATTAGATATAAGTTTAGCTACCATTTCTTACTTCTCAACCTATTTCTGGGGAGGATGGGACCCCAACACAGAGCTCTTTCCTATAAAGGTATTTTTGTGCTTTTGCAAACCTTGAGCTTTGCCACACATCTACTGATACATCCCTGATGTGTGTGGAGAGTGCTAACTGCATAAGGACTTGCCTCTGAACTTAAAAAGTAGAGGTAATAATGCCTGAAAATTTCAGCTGATCTACAACCTGGCAAATCAGATAAGACAGGGAGAGACCATGTAAATGTATATGCATCCTGACTTTTAAAAAGTGCAGCTAAGTTTCTGATTGTGCACAAGGTTAATGAGGACCACAGGCCAAGCAGAGTGATACTGCTTCAGCTTTTGACTAGTCATGTGCCTATAGCCCTGGTATCTCCAGTGCAATGCCTGTGAAGGGCTGAGGCTGCTGCTCTCTCAACCTTCCTATCTTTACCCAAGTAGACAGAACCAGTTCTGTAGGGAGAGTGACCTGGGGAGATGATAGGGAAACTGGGAAACTAACTTTGAGGGTGGAGGGTGGCAAGTGGATGTGAGAAAAGGCAGGGCTCGGATCTATGCAGCTTGGCATCAGGCAGACTATACCTTCTAAAATTCCTTCTTCTACATAAAATTTAAAGGCACATGCAACTATTAAATAGGGCTAGGTAAACACAACTTGTCCTGCTCGCTTTTACATCTGACCACTGCATATACCAAAATGAACACATCCAAAGTACCTGCCTCAGAAAAACACACAAAAAAACACACTTGCTCCACTGTTGCCAGGGCATAAAAATATGCAAATCACAAGTCATCTCTGTTTCCACAAATGCATTCCACAAATGATTTGATAGTATTTTAATCTTTATAAGACTCAATGCATTGAGTGCATATTTTTGTGCCATACTGGTCTGTACTTTTTCCTGTGCAGTCTATAGAAACAAATATAATACAAACTACTTTGAGGGTGGTTTGTCAGGGATCAGTGTGAAGATCTTGCTAATTCATTACAAACCACTTTCGATTCACTATATCCAGGTTTTTTTTCCCCTTACCAGTTTCTTTCTGGTCACACACCCTAAAGTAGCCATTTTGTGTCAGCATCCATCCATGCAATGCTTTCTAAAAATGAACTGTTTACAGATCCAGAAAAGTTGGAGAGTTTTGCTGCAGAAAGAGTACAGCCACAAATTGCTAAAGCTTGAAAAAGCAACTTCAGAAACATAAAATACTGAACAACAGCAGCTTCCTAGTAGCCTGCACAGCAGCTTTCAAGCAGTGAACATCTAGAATTGTAGCAGTACTTCAGAAAGGGTTCATCTACTCTTGAGGTTCCATAGGGTTCAAGTTTGCACCCTCTACTGCCGCTTGGCTGAAATAATACCAATGGGAGATGCACCATATTTGAGCCATAGTAGGACAATTTGAGACAGGGCTCTAATTTTGAGTGCTTG